TACATTATGACAAAATAACACATTATACAACGAACTTGTGTGCTTTTCAACATGCTACTTTGTATTTTCTTTATTCTTTACTATTTCAGCTTTTGGGTTTTCTAAGTGCTTTCAAAAGGGGAGACAGTTGACATTGATGGTACCATCTACCATTAAAACAAACTCCTGTGTAATTTGGAAAAATTCCTCAAATAGTATAAAAAGATGATAGCAGATGATTAAGGAAGAAAGAAGAGAAAGTTAAGGGAGGAAAAAGTATGGTGATGGGTGAGCAACAGTCTTCGGAGGTGCCCATAAAAAACTAAATTAGAAAAGGAGACATGGAGACTTGGTGGGACAAGCATTACAGAAATGTTAGGAAGGGAATCCAAAACTTAACATAAAGCTGGGCTTCCCCTCCGCATTTGTCCTCTTTAATAAAATCTCAGTTTCTAGAAAGCAACACTTATTTTTTTTTTTATACTAGCATAGAACCAAACAAAGTAAGTAAAATAAACCAACATAAAAGAATAAAATATAATGGAGGGAGCAATAATCTGTTATTTTTAACCCAAAGAATCCAATTCCAAATAACACATTACAAAAACCTGCCAGATTTTGAATCTCACAGATTGCCTCCTTGGCTTTCATTTTTAAATATCTCAAGTTCTTTGATCATTCCCCAGATGCCCTAGAAACAAGTTTCTCTTTCTCATTTTCCCCTCAATGATCCCTCCCCATTCTACGTATCTAAATAGAAACATCATTTTCCCCCTAAAACTTCTGGTAATAACTCCAGCTACTTTAAGCTACACTTCCTTAAATACAGAATCAAGGATCAGGTCTGAAGCTCAAAGAAACCAAACTGCACACCATCTGTCAGGAAAGCAGCACAATATCACTTCCACCAACCACTCTACCCTCAAAACATTCACATCAGTTCAGAGATCAATTCTTTAACTATTAAGAATAGTGGTATAAAATTGGCAAAGAAGAAGTCAAACTCTCACTCTTTGCAGATGATATGATACTTTATGTGGAAAACCCAAAAGACTCCATCCCAAAACTGCTAGAACTCATACAGGAATTCAGTAAAGTGGCAGGATATAAAATCAATGCACAGAAGTCAGTGGCATTCCTATACACCAACAACAAGACAGAAGAAAGAGAAATTAAGGAGTCGATCCCATTTACAATTGCACCCAAAACCATAAGATACCTAGGAATAAATCTAACCAAAGAGACAAAGGATCTGTACTCAGAAAACTATAAAATACTCATGAAAGAAATTGAGGAAGACACAAAGAAATGGAAAAATGTTCCATGCTCATGGACTGGAAGAACAAACATTGTGAAGATGTCAATGCTACCTAGAGCAATCTACACATTCAATGCAATCCCCATCAAAATACCACCAACTTTTTTCAAAGAAATGGAACAAATCATCCTAAAATTTGTATGGAACCAGAAAAGACCCCGAATAGCCAGAGGGATGTTGAAAAAGAAAAGCAAAGCTGGCGGCATCACAATTCCGGACTTCAAGCTCTATTACAAAGCTGTCATCATCAAGACAGCATGGTACTGGCACAAAAACAGACACATAGATCAATGGAACAGAATAGAGAGCCCAGAAATGGACCCTCAACTCTATGGTCAACTAATCTTCGACAAAGCAGGAAAGAATGTCCAATGGAACAAAGACAGTCTCTTCAACAAATGGTGTTGGGAAAATTGGATAGCCACATGCAGAAGAATGAAACTGGACCATTTCCTTACACCACACACAAAAATAGACTCCAAATGGTTGAAAGACCTCAATGTGAGACAGGAGTCCATCCAAATCCTAAAGGAGAACACAGGCAGCAACCTCTTTGACTTCAGCCGAAGCAACTTCTTCCTAGAAACATCGCCAAAGGCAAGGGAAGCAAGGGCAAAAATGAACTATTGGGACTTCATCAAGATAAAAAGCTTTTGCAAAGCAAAGGAAACAGTCAACAAAACCAAAAGACAACCGACAGAATGGGAGAAGATATTTGCAAATGACATATCAGATAAAGGGCTAGTATCCAAAATCTATAAAGAACTCATCAAACTCAACACCCAAAGAACAAAGAATCCAATCAAGAAATGGGCAGAAGACATGAACAGATATTTTTCCAAAGAAGACATCCAAATGGCCAACAGACACATGAAAAAGTGCTCAATATCGCTCAGCATCAGGGAAATCCAAATCAAAACCTCAATGAGATACCACCTCACACCAGTCAGAATGGCTAAAATTAACAAGTCAGGAAACAACAGATGTTGGCGGGGATGCGGAGAAAGGGGAACCCTCCTCCACTGTTGGTGGGAATGCAAGCTGGTGCAGCCACTCTGGAAAACTGTATGGAGGTTCCTCAAAAAGTTGAAAATAGAGCTACCATATGATCCAGCAATTGCACTACTGGGTATTTACCCCAAAGATACAAAAGTAGGGATCCGAAGGGCTACGTGCACCCCGATATTTATAGCAGCAATGTCCACAATAGCCAAACTGTGGAAAGAGCCAAGATGTCCATCGACAGATGAATGGATAAAGAAGATGTGGTATATATATACAGTGGAATATTATGCAGCCATCAAAAGGAATGAGATCTTGCCATTTGCAACGACGTGGATGGAATTGGAGGGTATTATGTTGAGTGAAATAAGTCAAACAGAGAAAGACATGTATCATATGATCTCACTGATATGAGGAATTCTTAATCGCAGGAAACAAACTGAGTGTTGTTGGAGTGGGGGGTGGGGTGGGAGGGATGGGGTGACTGGGTGATGGACACTGGGGAGAGTGTGTGCTCTGGTAAGTGCTGTGAATTGTGCAAGACTGTTGAATCTCAGATCTGTACCTCTGAAACAAATAATGCAATATATGTTAAGAAAAAAAAAAAAAGAAGAAGAAGAAGGTAGTGGGAGGGGAAGAATGAAGCGGGGGAAATCGGAGGGGTAGACGAACCATGAGAGACGATAGACTCTGAAAAACAAACTGAGGGTTCTAGAGGGGAGGGGGGTGGGAGGATGGGTTAGCCTGGTGGTGGGTATTGAGAAGGGCACATTCTGCATGGAGCACTGGGTGTTGTGCACAAACAATGAATCATGGAACACTTCATCTAAAACTAATGATGTAATGTATGGGGATTAACACAAGAATAAAATTTAAAAAAAAAAAAGAATAGTGGTATAAAAATGTGTCTGATTTCCATACAACATTTTATATTTATAAAAAAGGTATGTATAAAAATATATACATGTTTCTGTGAGTATATATATGGAACTATGCATATTATCACTTTGCTTTAAAAGTGAACATACCCAGTATTTGCTACCCCGTTTCCAATTGCTTATAGACATATGTAAGAGTCAGCAATTTTCTTTGACTTGAGGCACTACTGACAAGATTAATAAAATGTGAAAGGCCAACAAAAGCTAAAAAAATGAAAGATAATATTTGAGTCAGATATTATAAACTCCCAGAAAATAAAGCATTTTAAAGAACTAGTAAAAAAAAAAAAAAAGTAAAGAATAAAAAAGGACAGAGATGTTCATAGAGAATAGCATACAAATGTATTCCTTTGCTTTCAAGACTGTTGAAATGAGATGGAGACTGAGAGCAGTTGAAGACCACTTTGAAAAACACTGTGTGTGTGAGCTATACTTCTATTTCTCAGGCCTTAATTTAAATAAATTTAAATATATTCCTGATGTACCATTCTCTCCATAGAAAAAAACATTATTTTAGTCTAAGGACTAAAATGAAAAAAAAAAAAAGGTGCATTGAGGTACTTTTTAGGAGAAGAAAGGTCACAAACTATTAAAATAGCCACTTGATAAAATACATGCCCCTATAATTAAAGAACACAGAGAAATCTGTCTCTGTCATAATCATAATAGGTAATCAAATTCAGTTCAATAAGAAATCACTGGTATTCTGTGTTAGAGTAACTAATTTTTTTAATGAGATAACATGGGTTTAAGATGGGCATAATTTATACAAAGCCTAAAATAATTCCTCTAAACAAGTACTCAGCATACTTAGTGACTTTTTTTTTAAAGTCATCTAAAGAATGATGACTACAACCATATAAGGAGCACGTTCTCTTTGGTTTTTACTTAGGTCTGACAGGATCTACTGCTGCTATCTCCTGTACAACAACATGTGACCGTGTGACTTCGGATTACCTACTTCTTGAGTCAACGCTACCTCAGTCAACAGGACTAGCATGCCCACAAAGCAACCTCTCAACATGTAAATACAATTAGCACAAAGTAAGCGCTGGATAGGTAAGTATATGGATAACTAGATGTTCCTCTTCATTTAATTCCACAATGACAAAATTTATGATTTTAGAGCCAAATATTTAAGTAAGCTAAAACTGTTCAATGTAGTCTAAAATTAATATTTAATCACAGATACTTATAAAAACTGTTTAGAAATTCGTCCCCAGGAATCTTACTTTTGCAATAAGCAGCTGAAATCCTTAATACTAATCCTTAACGAAATCTTCTTTTAAATACTTTTAAAAAATGTTCTTTTAAAAATAGCCACAAGAGGTCAGTCTTTCCTAAGACATAAGTTTAACATCCTGCAGTACCATGAAGACCAGCATTTTTGCAGTATACTATTAGCCATTACAAGTCAGATTGGAAAGCAACCTGCGTTAAATTCAGTCAAGTCATCAAATCTTTCAGGATTCAACAAAAAATTGCAGAAGATCATACTGATCACAAACCCACAATTTAAAAAGACTGCCATATATAAACTTCACTCGATTCTCAAAACAGGGTGTAGACAACATCTTTACCAACTCTAGTTGGGAAGAAACAAACTTACCAAGAAGTTGATCGTTCATCTGAAAATTCTAAAAATAAAATACATGGGATTTGGATGTGCAAACTGTAACAAAACAAATGGATGTAGGATTTCTTTTAATCTCATTAGATATATGAATCGATGTTTCAAAAGCCATCACACCACACAAGCTTACCTTGCCAACTGTCATTGCAGACACACAATTTTTCTCCGGTGAGATCGCAGTAACCATGATCCGGACTGCCGCAGTTGGCTTTACAGTAAGGAATATCACAAGCTTCACCCTTCCAGTATTTATCACATTCACAGTACACTTGACTTGGAACAGAAATACTAGTTGTACACTTCCCATGACCAGAGCAATTGTTAGGACAAGAATTGATTCTGTAAAATATAATCCATATAGATTCAAATTCAAAGTAATTAAAAAAGAATTTTGGTTGATATTTTGTAAACTTTATCACTTTTATGTTGTGTTTGATACGCTCTGTTAAACACAATTTCACAGTGTGACTTCAATTCTTTACTCTGTACCCTTTTATCCCTAATGCAATTCAGTTAATATTTATTTGCAATTAACCTTCATTCATTCAGTGAGTTTACTTTGCTACCAAGGCTCCAAACTTCTGAGGACTACACACTCAACATTTGCAGGATCTATACAGTTCCAAACACAATGTTTTGTAAAGAATTAAGTACTCAAATGTTTTGAATGTACATTTTACAGAAAATAATTAAATTCATGAAGACCTGAAACTACATGAAAAGCCAAGACTTAACCTGGTCATATAATAATATTTACATAGCACGCTATCACCTACACACTGTCACGGAAGAGAAAGGATGTTTACCAAATTTTATTTTAAAGCCCTTTAACCAATTATATTCTACTATATATTTATTCTTCCTTGCATACATACTTGAGATAAATCCTGTAACAACTTGCTGATTTTAAATTCTAATAGTCTGAAGATATTTAGAATATTTTATTCATGGTGGAAAGTTCTCTGGTTGTATCATACATTCCTGAAGAAAAGGAAGAAGAGAAGTGTATCGAGTTCCTCTGTGGCCATTTCTGCGAAAGCATCTGAAAGCATCTCTGGCTCCTTCACTTCACTGGAAGGGAGACTTCCAGCCATAAAAATTTATATAAAGTGTCAGACACATAATATATCCTTAATTAAAATGATTTTTCTTATTTTAGAGGAGACAGTGGTATATCCACTTACCTTACCTTTAGCCTCAATTTCCTCCTATGTAAAATGGGAAAAATACCCATTTGACAGAATTGTAAAGAAAGTCAAGAACATAACGTACATAGAGCATCCAGTTCAGTCTCTGGAAAGCAGAGAGACTGTACAAACTTAGTTCACATACCCATCTTCAAATTAGGAGTTAAATACCTTCAAGTACAGACACAGATGAAGACTCCCTCAAATCCCACACCCCTGCTGCTACCAGTTTCTCTACTTTGTACTTGTTTCTTTAATCATTTACCAACAATTTTAAATTTCATAATTAATTGTCAACTAAACTTGCTACCATAATGTCCTGAGACTTTGAATACAAGCTCAAACAGTACTTTGAGGCATATGATTAAGATTTTGTGTCACCTAGGAAAAGATCCTATAATTTTGAAATTTAACACACTAGCCTGCTCCTCATATAGAAGGCATTTATAAAAACAATTATTTGAAGTTATAAGAATCATTATAATACAAATTTAAAAAAAAAAATACTTACGAATAAAAAATGTTGAAACCAGTTAGATTATATGCAGCATCACTAAAAAAATGTAACAGTGCATAGCCAGACGTCGTGACGACTTCAGGCACAGTTTCATTTCCCCTGATTTCAGGGACTATCAAACCACTGTAAGAGAGCAAAATTGAATGTAATATATATTAATATGTATATGACTGTTAATCACATTAAAATTTACTCAAAAATATTCCTGTCAGAATCACTAAATATCTATAACGGAATAAGCAACTAGAGGAAGGATAAGTCTAAAACAAGCACCTCTCCATTTTTCACCCAATTAGCCCTCCTACTGCTGCCAATGGGCGAACGTGCATTCTTGTGCCACCACCCTCCTTTTCTTCCTTCACACCGTTTGGACTGCAGTGTCCATTTCTCCCTTTATCCTGTGATCCATCCTGTTATAATTACTATAGGGTGGTCTCTAACTCATGTGTAAACCATCTCGTAAAGCCATCTTAGACCCTTGCTATCTCCCTCGGGTTGCAAATTCTGATGAAGCTAAAAGGAGAACACTCCACACCAGCAAAGTGACTACAGTGACAATTCTAGTTAAACCTGTACACTTCCAGGACACTAATCTAGGTATTTTAGGTCATCTAAAAATATATACTATTTCTATTTCTTTCAAATTTTGCACACTTATACAAATTATAGTAATATTCCAAAAGACATTTAAGCTCATATTCACACAAAACTAACGGTGGGAGGGGGCAGATATAAATGTGCAAGAGTTCTGAGTCAGTAACCAGTTAGTAACTGGTACTTTTCCCTTTTTCAATTTCCTTATGCATGAGGAAAAATTACATATCTTCCTTTACTTATACCATACTACCCTCTCCAAATCTGTGAAAACATGCAATATGAGAAAAGAAGTTGCTGACAACAAATTATATTACTCGAAATAGTCCATCCTTTAGGCAATGTTAAATTTATGTGTAGGCATCACCAGGAACTGAACTCTCTCACTCAAACCATACTTGACAGAACAAAATGAACTATAATAATCAAATAATTTACTTTACAAACATTCTCAAAGCAAACAAATTAAAAAGTAATCGAACCTTAATGCTTTTCTAATTATTACTGCATCTACTAGCCTATGTTTGTGAAAGAACAAAAAATTTTAAAAGGGGACTGTCAAAAGAATTCTAATTCTATAATACCAGTCTTAGTTACATATATTTTTCACTATAGTGAGATTACATTGAAGTAAGTACATTGTTAAAAATAATATTCCCAGGTCTTTATAATAGATATAATTAATCTCTCTGAAACAAAGAACAGATATGTTTACTGGTTATTTTTAGGTTTTTTTAAAAGAATAATTTATTTAAAAAATAAATAAGAGAAATTTAATTAAAATGTTTATTTTTAAAAATGAACTTTAAAAGAGAGGGTTTCCACATCAAGCAATTTGGACCAACTAACCCTTCCACTGAAGTCAACTAGAAAAATGACAAATTACATTAAAAAAAAAAAAATCAGTTTGAAGGTACTGGAGAACTAAGAAGATGGTGAGCCCAGGAACTTGGTCTATTTCTCCTTATGGGCATTTGCTGATTTCAAAGTTGGAGGTGAGGTCTGAAGGGCTGAGAAACTGGGTTGTTTTACAGAGCTAGGAAAACAAAAAGTGGAACCCAGGGTACTTGCTTTGACCTGGGGCCCCAAAGACTATGAGTAAAAGTGAACTAGTAAAAGATCAACCCTCCAGAAGATTGCACTGCAGCTTGGACATGAATCACCTCAGTATCTAAATTCAGTTGACTGGATTGTTAGCGTTTCCAGGCACTCTCTATAGGAATATATTATCTTTCTAGGACTCAAATTATTACTACATGTGATTTTACAAACATGATGTCCAGCACACAATAAAAAAATAACACTTCTCTATTACAATCCATTCTCCACATTCTAAAGTCTTGCCTATAGAATAAAGTCCAATTTCCTTAGTGTGGTATATAAGAAAGTAATACTAATGATTAAGGGATTATAAAACCAGAGTTATTATTCTGACTATATTACTTACTAGCTAGGCAACTTTGAACTACTCACTGAATCTCTTTGTGCCTCAATTCTCCATTTATGAATGGAGAATTTAAAAACTCCATGGCAATAATATAATCCCTAACTAAAGGGTTACTGTGAAGATTAAATGAGTTAATGTATATAAAGAACTCTTGCATACTGCCTGGCACATAATAAGCTTCAGTAGATGTACTGATTACTGTTTATTGGGTAATCTGGCTCCTACCAATCCCTTCACATTTCCTATGATCCAATTACCTGTAAGTACTTATATTAGCCCAAAACATAATGTTCTTTAATGTGTCTATGCCTTTGTACATATGTTTTTCTCTATCAAGAATGTCCCATCTGGCCCCCATACTTTGCCTATTAGGCTTCTGCCCATGCTGAAATTCACCATGAAGAATTAGTTCTTCTAAAATCATACAGCACTCTTTTCATAACCTAATTAGAATATTGTGCTGGGTAAAAAAAATCTGTGTAGATGCTGCCACCGGTGCCTAACTGCTGTGTACTGATATAGCCTCCAAATCCTTGGAATTTCCCAAGTGACAGGAGTGTCTCCGTTACTCATGGGGAACTCTGATTGCTTATGCTAATGAGGTGACTCAGGATGGGAGCTGGCCACACCAGAAAGACCAACATGCAATTAAAGGGTTGAGGCTTTGAGCCACAAGAAACCAATCCAACTTCCAGAGAGAGGAGGAGGACTAGAGACAGTTCAACCTTGTGGCCAATGATTCAATCATGCCTATATAATGGAACCCCAACAAAAACTCTGGACACTTGTAGCTCAGGTAAGCTTCCTGGATGATGATACACACTGGTGTGCTGGGAACGAAACGCATCCCAAGGACAAAGAAGTTCTTTGTGATCCTCCCAGGCCTCATTCTATATGTCTCTTCACTTGGCAGGTCCTGATTTTTATCCTTTATCATAAAACTATAAACATAAGTATAGTGCTTGCCTGAGTTCTATGAGTCATTCTAGTGAATTATTGAACCTGAAGGGGAGATGGGCACCCCTAAATCTGCAGCCAGCTGGTAGAAGTGTGGGTGGGGCCTGAGGACCTCTGAACTTGCAGCTGGTGTCTGAACTAAGAGCAGTCCTATGGAGGGCTGTGCACTCCACCTATGAAGTTTGGCCCAACTCTAGGTAGCTGGTGTGTGAATTCATTGCAATGCCTGTATCTTATTCCTTACTATATCCTCCAGGCTTATGATGGTCTCTGGAACTGAGGAAGTTATCACATGTTTGTTAAATAATGTATATTTATAAAACTGGAATCACTCAAACACTTAGATTCTGAATTCGTAGTATTGTAGGCTTTTAAGTCAGGAGACTATCACTTCCTAATCCTGGCTCCACCATCCATTAGAAGTAAAACAATTTCTCTGAGTCTCAATTTTCTCAGCTATAAAATGGGGATAACAGCACTTCTTCCACAAGATCCTTGTGAGAATTAGATGACATTTAAACTGCCTAGTACACTGATTAGCATCAAACTGATACTCAATAAACATCTTTCCATCTCCTTCAAGACAGCTAATAGGAACACTTGCTTATGAAAAGTCAGTGGTTCCAGCTTCACAGTCATATACGAAATCCCATCCTACTAATTATCTTACAAAAGTTTCCTTTAGTATATCAAGAAAGCATTGGTAAGAGTGTTAATGGATCACTGTTAACGCAGTCATTACAACTATGAAGAAAACAAATGGAAAGACACACATCTAAATGATGGTCAATAGTGTCATAAAAATATAATAATGATAGCTGAGTAAAATCTAAATTGCTAAAAATTAATGTATGAACTCAGAATCTTAGTTAATTATCACAATGAATTATCTTACAATATAATTATTCATAAGACTCTCTTCCATTTTCTATTGTCCTTGGATAAAGGGCCATTTGTAGCAATCCTTTAAATAATTTTCAAACAACTCAAAAATCAAATTCTAGAATTATATAGAGCAACAGCAATATTATAGACTGTGTCTAAGATCCTAAAGAGTCACTGTGAAATATTCATTCAGAAATACAAGTCCTTACATGCCTATCTAAAAAAATAATAGTTTACATCCCTGATAAACAGAATATTTGCAACACAAATAGTAAAAAGAAAAAAGAAAATTTTTAAAATTTGAAGGTAACAATAAGCTTTTATCTTTATTCAAATTTTTAACAATGACAGAACATGTAAGCAGTATTATGGAAATAAGAAATACAAGGAAAATTTAATCAGTAACTCTGGTCAACAATCATCTTAGTTAAATTGTACATAAAATCAACATTACATGATCCTAATATTTCCTATGTCTGATATATTTTCTCCTATTCATAAAACATTTTATAATAATTTGCATTACATACATAAAAAAGATTTTTAAATTGATAGTGAAAATGCTGTAATTTTAAAAATAAGTCTACTAACAGTAGATATTTTGAAACAACCAAAACTCCCAAATTTTGAGAACTGAAAGAAACACATTTGTTATTAAACCATTACATAAAGTATAACGTAACCTTTTTTTACAGAATTGGAAATTTTATCATTTCACCAAAATAAAAAGACAACTATAAAAGACATATACATATGTCTATTATTTCCTTGTCACCTAGAACTCACATTAATCTATCCAATAGGTAGCTCTGAAAACATATTCAAATCACTTTAAAAGAATAAACTATATGCGGAAAGAAAGGATACTTATCAAGAAATCTACCTTTTTGAAAGAATACTTACTTATCTTTACTAAATCAAAATTTACACTATTATAAATACACTAAAGTTGACAGTCACAGTATGCAACATTGTATTATAACCATCTTAGAAATTAAGCAATCAATATCTCTGCTAAATTTATTTTAAAGCACAGAGCAGTATATATTTAAAAATAATAAATCACAGTTACTCTTCTACAACTGACTGTAAGTTCACCAATTAAATGCAATTACTCACCTAAGAACCGCTATTAAAGGTGCATATATTGAATCTCCATCATAAACATACATATGATCCCAGCTACATTCTGTTGCAAAATGATTGAATCTTAATCTTAACACTGCATTTGGACTGAAAAAAATATTAAAATATGTTTAAATTAATATATAACATTCAAAGCACAGTCTGAAAAATTTTAGGAACACTATATTAAAAACCTATTTATAGAAAATTTTCTATACATTCTTAAGTTACCAGTGTAAAAGACTGATAAAGAGTCTTCTCTAAATTGTAAAAATGAGGGATGCCTCACTGGCTCAATCAGAAGAGCATGCGACTCTTGATCTCAGGGTTGTGAGTTCGAGCCCCATGTGGGTATAGAGATTACTTAAATAAATAAAACTTTAAAAATAAATAAATGAATTGTAAAAACGACATACAACTTCAAAATCTATTAACAGACTGTATATATAAATCACCATTTTCTAAAAATTTAGTCAGCAGTAAATGTTCTATGTTTTGATTAAGGTGGACATTACACAGATTGTATACATTATTAAAGCCATGTTGAACTGTACACTTAATATGCATTTTATTGTATGCATATTATACTCGAATAAAGCTGATTTTTAAAATTCAAACTCAAAAAGTAACAACTCTTATTTCTACAAAACGTTTATTAACTAAAGGCCCTAATATGGTCTTGAAATTTTAATCAAAAGGTCTCAATAGTATATATTATTAATAAATAAACAAAATGAAAAAAGGGGGGGGCGCCTGGCTGGCTCAGTCAGTGGAGCATGGAGCTCAGGATCATGAGTTCAAGCCCCACACTGGGCACAGAGATTACTTAAAAAACAATAAACACACACAAAAAAACAAATTGAGACCATAAGTGTACAGAGAATTAATAACTTTTAAGTTCTAAAAAACTTTCTAAATAACCCCCACACAAAAAAAACATTTTCCAAATACACTTTTTAAAAATCATAAAATGGGGGGCGCCTGGGTGACTCAGTCGTTAAGCGTCTGCCTTCGGCTCAGGTCATGATCCCAGGGTCCTGGGATCGAGCCCCGCATCGGGCTCCCTGTTCGGCAGGAAGCCTGCTTCTCCCTCTCCCACTCCCCCTGCTTGTGTTCTCTCTCTCGCTGTGTCTCTCTCTGTCAAATAAATAAATAAAATCTTTAAAAAAAAAAATCATAAAATGGTTTAAAAATAACTTATATCAATTCATTTATGATCTATTCACAGTATGTTTAAATAGATCAATTCAATCTCAAGCCCTAATTACTGAAAAATACTCCTAAAAGGATAATTAACTCTCTCCTACAAAATGTTCTTTTTATAACACCCTTAAAACTAAAATGCTGAAGAGTATGAACCAATGGCATAATTCAGCATGGAATATTTTTAAACTTTCTATGGCATTTTCAAATTCCATAACAAGATGTTTAAAGCAAGCCAAAAATGCCTAGTTGATTTACTGCCACACTAACGTAATGCAAAAATAAAATATATGTAACAATTATCTCAAGTTAAGGGGGTACTATAATTTACATTAAATGTGATATCTAAAAGTTGTAAATCTCACTTTAAAATATTATGAATAATAACTGAATAAACTATAAGCAACTGAATAAGCTATATACCTCTAAAATTATACTTTAATGCTTTAACACTGGTATGATCATCTTCTTTATCATTTCAGAATAAAATAATTTAATCCAAATTATATACTTACTAGCCTTCAATTAGCCATGTGCATTTAGTTTTATATTTATAGTTAATTGGACCATCTGTTAAATATCCAGAAGGTTCTGTTAACCTAGAAAACAAAATCATGAAAACAATTACCTTAAAGTAACTTTAAAACATACAGTAGCATGAGAAAATTAAAAAGACATTTAATCAGGGCGCCTGGGTGGCTCAGTTGGTTAAGCGACTGCCTTCGGCTCAGGTCATGATCCTGGAGTCCTGGGATCGAGTCCCGCATCGGGCTCCCTGCTCGGTGGGGAGTCTGCTTCTCCCTCTGACCCTCCCCTCTCTCATGCTCTCGCTCTATCTCATTCTCTCTCTCAAATAAATAAATAAATAAATAAAATCTTTAAAAAATAAAAAATAAAAAGACATTTAATCAAAGGAATGGAATGTAGCATTTTCCAATAGGGAGAATTTATTTACAAATTAGGAAAGTTTTCAAACTGCCATATATCTCTCTACATCTCAAAAGAATTTATTTTGGATTTCTCTAAACCTTGACATATTTTAACTGTTCCACTTTGCACAGTGAAAAAATCACACAGAAAGACTGAACATTGTACTGATGGGTTTTATGTTTAATGCAAAAATAGATGAAGTTAAATTGCCTCTGTACAAAAATAAGATGGAGGCAAAAGGAAGGTCAAATGCACTTTAAAAGATGCAGATCAATGAAATAGAGAAATAATGTATGTACATACCACTTTCAAAGTTACAGCGTTAGCTATACTTGCTTTTGGGTTTGGTCTTAGCTTTTTTTAGTTCTCATGTTATTTATTCTCAAGTAATAAATTATCTATTTACTTATTTTAGTTTGAGTTAACACATAATGTTACATTAGTTTCAGGTGTACAACTCGGTGATTTACGAAGTATGTACATTATGCTATGTTCACTACACCTATAGTCCCCATCGGTCCCATTACATCACTGTGTTTGTTTTTCACAAACCAGGACTGCTGAGGTAGCTGTCAACAGATTTGACTGAGTTCGGCTACCTGTTTTATTATCATTTTCTCTTATCTACTTTATACCTAGTCCAAGAACTCAATCAATTTTAAAAATAGGATAAATCAAAGGTTTTATAATTATCTTCCATTTAAAACATTAAAAAAGACAATTAGAAAATTTCAGTTTTTAGAATTTAAAAATATTTAACAAAATCTCAAATCTACTTCATTTTGTTCTCCTTAGCTCCAGCTCAATTGTTTTTTGCCACAAAAAAACATATTTTAGGTAATTAAGATATATTCCCATTTAGCCTTTATATATAATATATATAAGTGTGTGTGTGTATATATATATATATATATATATATATATATATATATATATATGTCCACACATGCAAACACACACACACGCAAGGGCTTATCAGTCTTTATGTATTCACATATACACAAACACATATATTATACATAATATACACATACACACATAGATCGCAAGGTCATTATTTGTTCTAGATAAATTAAATTTTCCTTATAGTATAGACTAGTCTTAAGCACTCTAGGAAAAAAGCATTTCATTTATCTAAATCATGGGTGACAGAAATGTCAGTCAATAAGAATGTTATTTATAAGCCTTTTCATAAACCCTGCAGATTATTTTAGGCAATAGAGAGGCTAATTCATGCTTGGGAAAGTTTTTTAAGAACAGACAAATTCCAATACTCTCAAATTAGTGTAATAATAAATTGAGCATTTTCTATGCATCAGGATCTACTGTAAGCACATGTGTTACCTCACTTCAAAATCTCAAAAACCAGGGCACCTGAGTGGTGCAGTCGGTTAGGTGTCTGCCTTCGGCTCAGGTCATGATCCCAGAGTGCTGGGATCGAGGCCCACATAGGGCTCCCTGCTCAGTGAAGAATCTGCTTCTCCCTCTGCCGTTCTCGCTGATCATGCTCACTCTCTCCCTCTCTCTCTCAAATAAATAAATAAAATCTTTTTTAAAAAATCTCAAAAACCTTACAAAGTAGTAAGTAATTATTAATCCATATTACAGATGAGAAAACTGAGGCACAATTTAAAGAACAAGTTAAATAACGTGTCCTGATTTTTCCCTTCCAACAATAATAGATAAGGTAATTTAGACAAATTCTGCACTGAAAACAACTTTAAAAAGCTAAAGAAAGGGGCGCCTGGGTAGCTCAGTCGTTAAGCGTCTGCCTTCGGCTCAGGTCATGATCCCAGGGTCCTGGGATCGAACCCCACATCCGGCTCCCTGCTCCGTGGGAAACCTGCTTCTCCCTCTCCCACTCCCCCTGCTTGTGTTCCCAGTCTCACTGTGTCTCTCTCTGTCAAATAAATAAATAAAATCTTTAAAAAAAAAAAAAGCTAAGGAAAATTTTTAAAATCTTAAAAGCATCTTACAAGTAACAGAATGGTAAGATCTACCAACCCAAGACCCAGAAGTTGCAAATTCTTTAAGAGGCAGGCATTCAGAGCTGCTTTTGCTCTGGAGAGACTTGCCTATTAAGAAGACAATATCAAAAAACTGAGTGCTTTTGGCAGCCTGATAGAGGGAGGGAGAGAAAAGTTGAAGTCAATGGCCCATGAAAGGTAGGGGCTCAAACAATATGGCCCTCTGAATTCAGACACAGTGACCTGTTATTAGGGTAAGGGGGTACCAGAAGTAAACCATCCCTATGTGGACTGCAGCCTAGCTATGAGTCAACTGGATGGCAGAAAACCTCAAAACTTACAATTGGCTTAAGGTGATACTGGAACTGCCAGTATCCAAAGCTCCTAACAGAAGATACAAAAATACTCTCTAAAGAAAGATAACATTATTCTAGGCCTCAAATTATTTCTACCAATAATTTTTCAAGTAAAGTGTCTAACATGATTAAAGATACTAAGACATATGAAGATGCAAGACAACAAAGTAAGAACCAAAAGACAACAGGAAGAAACCTGAAGATACTTCAATTACATAAATTGTCAGACGTGTCCTATAAAATAAATTACTAAGCTCAAAAACACAAAAGACAAGATTTAAAATTTTGGCAGTTAAATGAAAACTGTAAAAAGAGATATTTGAAAAAAATAATAGACATACTAATACTGAAAACTACCATAATCAAAATTAAGAATTTGAGGCACAGGTTTACAGCACATTTAAACACAGCTAAAACAGGATAAGAGATCCAGAAGATAGACCCATAAAAATTTTCCAACCAAAGTAGGATGACTGAGAACTCAGCCCACTGGATTTGGGTCACTCCACCAGGTGAAAGTCCAACAACCTGAGATTCTAGCTGAGAGCAGGGGAAATAAAAATAGGGGGTGGAAGAACAAAACCTTAGATACCAATTATCATCTTGTAACACATTTACAGAAACAAAGATCATAACAGTTTTGCATAGTTTCTATTTGCTTGTTATGTTTATATCTTTTCTCCTCATTTTTACTTTACATACAAGTTGTTGTAAGTTAACTTTACAATTTAGACTTTAGATAATGACATATTCAGTATGACTATGACTGAATATGAAGAGTAATTAATACAACCAATCATAGATATAATGACTCTTCAAACTGTGTACTTCCTCATTTTGGACAAAGGGTGAGAACTTCAGTAGGAAGATGTATATCTTCTTAGAAAGAAATACAGTGTTGTTTGGTTGCTGGGGAATTCACATGTTTAGAAAGAAAAAAAAAGCTGAATAATCAAAAGGTAGACTGTGCCAATTATCCATTGCCTGTCACTTCAAAATCCACAGTTTGCCTACTCTGTGAAAATGGATCTGGGCCCTTTAAATATTTTTTCTTTGTCAGATGGCATGATGTTAAAGCGGTCATGCTTTGTCAAGAGAGTGCACTAAAGAGACTACAGGAGAGGAGTTTGGCTTCCTGGTTCCAGCGTACTTAGCAATCTCCTGCAGCTTGGCTTCTCCAGGACTAGCTCCTATGGAATGTGATGGCCAGCAACCCGGCCACCACCAGCTTCTCCCAGCACCTCCCCTCAGGCAATTTTGCAGCATGGTGCCTTCAGTGAGACCCCGCCCCATGAACAGCATTTCCCATCTTTCACTAAGATGAGCACGGCCATTGCCAAAGGGCAGATACCAAGCAATTTCTACCAGTGCAGCATGACATCAATGGTACCTTTCAGTGAGCCACAGCCATGCCCTCCCAACAAGGTCTGGATTTCAGGCCAGGAGGTGGCGGCTTATACGTAAGTGTTCTATCTCAACCGTAAGGGTAGTAATGGCTGCTCCTCATACCCACTATTTCAACATTGTTTGGAGAGCCCTTTACTTCTTACTAGCCAATTTCTCATTCTTCCAATCCCTGTTACAGTCAAAAGTTCTTTAAACTTTTCCTGCTAAAACTACGGTGATTCTCTTTTCTGACTGGACCCAAGTCGATCAATAATAATCAAGGATATGCAAAATGAAATCACAATAACATATCACCACTATGCACACAAAAAAATGATGAAAATTAAAAAGAATTATATCAAATACTGGCAAAGATGTGGAAAAGAGAGTTGTCATAGGAATAAATCAGTACAACTTCATAAAGTAATCTGGCATTATGTTGCATAGTTGAAAAGAGACATATCTTTTGAAGTAGCCAAAGGTGTTTTTGTACCACCTACCCCTATATCCTCTCAGATCGCCTTACTATTTCCATACACTCAGCCTGACTTCTCCAGGCAAGCACCTGCATCACTGCTGGAGGACTCCCCTCTGGCTGTTGAACTCCACTTCCTCTGCATGGGATGAGCTGAAAGTGCTTATAAATCAACATCCTCCCAGAGGTAGCCCCTAGCCAATGAATGATTTGGTAAGAGTGTAAATACCCCAAGCTTCCTTATCTCTTTGTTGGAATAATACTGCCGTGCATTTTCCGCCCAGTACTTCCTTGTGGGATTAAGCTCTGGTCGCCCCCTGTGGTAGCAGACTTGGTAACATATTTCTTGCTGGCTACTTCTGTGTACTTCTCTGTCAGCGTCCCTGCATCTCCCAAGTATACTACATGTGCTCAATTCTCAGTGTGAAAGCAGATACTTCTGCTTCAGGGTGGTGGAGGGGAGGATGACCAAACTAACACTTACC